TAGGAATACTACAAGGCGCTCTTTCTCTCGCGCTCTCTCCATAAGTTATAGTGCGTGAGTGTAGATTTTGCAAAGTGAGGCCGGAAACAGAGAGAGAGAGAGAGCAAATGTCCTTACTCACCTTGCATTAACAATGAGCATGTGTCGGTAGTGGTAGTGTCGTAGACAAAGGGTGTTTATTTGTTGTATAGGTATGAAGAACTAACGGGGAAACTGGAAGCTTTAAATGACAAGTGTGAGAGTGGGAGTGCGTGAGTGTGTAAGGGAAACGCATACAATTTATGACCAAAAATAGTTAAAAATAAATAAAATATTTATTTTCTGGCAAATTTACTTGCTATAAAATAAATTATTTTAAAATAACATAATCGTCTTTTTTCTCTCCACGGCTTACAACAACAACAAAAACCATAAACAAACCCCCACCACCACAAAATAAAACAAAAGTTTCCCGAAAAAGAGAGAAAAATCAAAGAAAAACAAAAATAAAAAAGTACATTGTGACAGACACAATTATCATAAAAAATAAAAGCAAAAAAAGTATTTCAAAAGAAAATTTATGAAAATAAGAGAGAGAAAATCAAAGCGAGAGAGTGTAAAGTGTGAGAGTATTTGGTATAAACAAAGTAATAAATTCTAAAGAAATATATCACATTTTTTTAAAAACAAAATAATAACAACAGCATGTTAGTAAAATAGGAAGAAAGAATATAAAAACAAAATGGATGTGTAATTAAATAAATTAAAACATAACAAAATATGTAAGTGCGAGTGAATAAAAGTGAAAAGAAAACAAAATTCAAGACCAAGAATAAAACTACTGAAAAATTTTTGTTTTAACAATCAAAGTATTTGCGTGTTTACATTGGTTGTGTTTTGTAGTTTATGAGGTGTTCAGGTGTTTTATTATTTACCTCCCACATTTTGCCGGTTTTCAGTTGGAACTAACATTAGAGAGAAATACGAGAATTTAGTTTTAATAACAAAAAGAAATTATTAAAAGCTCTTGCAAACAAACCCAATTTTTAAAACATTACTGGAATAAAATTTATAATGCAGACGATATTCTGTAACGATATTACGATTATTCTATGAAATGCATAAAGGAATCACAATGCGACTTTCTTTTGAGGAATTATTTCACATTTTGTGGAAAAACCCATTTAACCATGAAAACCCATATTGCCATAAATTCAGGGGCGAAAATTTGATTTATGGGCAAATAGAAAACTCACAAATTTTCTTAAATGTGGAAGTTTTGTTACATAGGGACTATATTTATATTGAACATTTATGAGAGAAGTTAAACTACGTATTGAGAACCAGAAATATCTAATTTGGTTGGGAGTTGGGGCCCAGTTATTGAAATTTCCAATTTTATGCCAATAAAAAAAAAACAAAATTATTAACATTTTGTGGGAAAGTCACCAGAATACTTGGGCCCATGAATTTCACATTCACGTCAAATCTCTGGTTAAGGAAATAATTTTTATGTACCAAGTTTGAAAAAAAAACGCAGACCATTTTCGCCAGTTATGAGAGATATAAGTATTGGAAATTGTAACCTTTTGCGTGGGAGATACCAAAAGGGTTGAGCCGATATCTATCATCTTCACACCAGATATTGTGTTAATAAAAATGTTGAAAACATTTTATGAGAGTTATAGTTATTATTTGATGCAATGTGGGGAAGATGGTCTGATATATTTCATCTCTCCGCCAAATCTTGTGTTGATAGAAAAGTTGGGATATGCCCAGTTTGAAGGGAACCAAATAATGGGAGATGGCCTTTTTGAAGGGAATTAGATGATATTTTTTCTTTTTATGAACTTAATGCTGTGAAGGAGGCACTGGAAGGAGTGGTCCGTTCTTCCCGTTCTTCATACCTAATTTTATGTTGGTATAAATATTGAGATGTGCGAAATTTAAAGACAATAGGACTCTCTCGTTTCACATTTGTGGGTAGGTACTTGATGGAATGGGCAATGTTTTCTATTTTCGCACTTGGCCTAACACTGAAGCAAATATTAAGGTTTGTAAAGTTTGAACAAAATTGGATAATCTTTATACCTTACAACACTATGTGTTGGGGGTATTATAAGTTTGATTGGGCCAGAATTTATGTAACACCTCGAAATATTGGTTTCCTATATAGGAAAGTATATATGGATCTTCCTAGCTCGCCGAGCTGAGCCGATATGTATGTCCATCCGTCCGTCTGTCCATGTTAATTTGTAATCACGCTACAGGTCGCAATTATGGCCCGATCATTACGAAATCTTGCACGAAGGTGGGGTTTGGGTCAGAATAGAAGCCTATTTCTTTTGGAGATGATCGCCAAATGTTTACGGGTTGAAATGGACCAAATACTGAAAAATTTCGGATTTTGCAGTAGCTATACAGGTCGCAATTATAGACCAATTGACACGGAATTTCGCATGTAGCTAGAGTTTAGGGCAGGGAAGAAGCCTAGTATTCTAGTAGGTCAGACATTACGCGTTTGTAACACAATGAAAGTAATAGCGGGCGAAAACATAAATGTACATAGAAGTACATTTCGAACTTATTCGAGTGGCGCCCAGTTAGCATGTAAAATGTACTGAACAAGTCAGAAAAGTCGAAAAGGCTCGACTATAATGCCCCATCCGGCCGAATCTTCCTTATGTGACATATATTCAAATCTGAACAAATTTCTATTAGATTCATTAATAGACCAAACAAAGGAGCTGTGCAAATTTTCGCCTCAATCTAACAATAATGACAATATTCTATGAATAGCAGTAGAAGGAACAATAGGTCTATCTTTTTCCCTTTGCATGTTACAAACCAATGCACAGAGCGGTACTCTAGAAACAGAAAAATGATTTTAGTTCAATTATGATTAGTTCAATTATATGTCCCAATGTCACGAGCGGTTCGTTAATTTTATTCAATAAGGTTTCAATTCTACAAAGAAAAACCAGTAAAGAGAGTCTTAAAGTCGGGCGGGGCCGACTTCATGATACCCTACACCACTTTGCTAATTTAGTAGAGCTCCACATAACAATTAAAAGGTTTTATGGGAGAATTCAATCATACACGCCATGATTATAATTATAATTTAAAGTTCTAAAGACTAAATATGCCGAAGCATTTGTATCTTTTAAATTCGGACTTCTATTGCCCATTTGGTGCACAATTAATTTGAAATCGGATAAAGATATACATGGGAGCTGTATCCAATTCTGAACCGATCTCGATAAAATTTGGCAAAGATATTTCTGAGCTGTATTCGATATATTTCCCTGAATATCGTTGTTACGGAGTGCATATTACGGCTGTGGGTAACAAATATAACAAATCGGATGAACAGTAGATATGGGAGCTATAGCTATATCTGAACCGATCTTCACCAAATTTGACATACTAGCTTTTAGACTTAATTGGGTCGTAAGTGCCAAATTTCATCCCATTTGGGCAATTATTTGGTGCACAACAAAAGGTAAATCTGACGAAGATATATATGGGAGCCATATGTAAATTTTGACCGATTATCTACAATCTCAATAAGGTTCGTCCTTAGGCCAAACAAATGATCTGTGCCAAATTTCATGTGGATAAATGTGAACGGTACTTTGTTTACAAAAATACATGGACAGACGGACGGACGGACATGCATAAATCGACTCAGAGTGTGATTCTATGCAGATCATCAAAAGGAACTATGGGTATATCTCGTTTCCTTTTGCCTGTTACAAACAAAGGCACAAAGACGTAATACCCTGACCACCTTGTGGTGTAGGGTATAATCATGGGGGATCAGCAACGCCCGCCCTTTTCTTACCATATATGACATGCTCCTTATTATACTCTCACCCATATGGCTTTTATACGACCACAACTTGCCTCATTGAAATAACGGTTCCAGACCCTAAGTCCCTTTGGACCAAATCGGTTTCAGGACATTTGAAGTCGATCTAGAGTGTCTGCCTGGCTAGCTCGTGAGCACGTGGCTAGCTGGTACATCGTAATATTATTATCAAACTTAGATCGAGTTCGGAGATGGGCAAGATCGGTCCACTCTTTCTGGTACCACCCCCATAAAAGATCGAATTTTTCAAAGAAAATTTTTGATTGCACAGAGAGAGAAAGGATTATGCAATCTTTCTCTAAATTTGCGCATCCTTATATTTATATCAATGTTGGGTCAGGAGCGAAAATGGACAATATCGCTCCACTCCACCAAGTACCTAACAAAAAAGGGTGAAAATTTGAAATGTTTATAACTCTAATAAAATGTGACATAAGAGTTCAATAAAACACGAAATTAGGCATCCAACTCTCTTCAAATTTCATACATCTAGACATTTAATCTGAGGCAAAATCTGTTATGAAGATGGCAGATATTTACCAACCCCTTCATGTGCTCACCTACAAAGGTTTCAAAACAAGTCAGCGATTCTTCATAAATTGCTGTACCTAAATATTTCTCTCAACCAGAAACCTAAGATGAATATGGAATTTATGATTTCGCATAAAATTGGATATAAAAGTCCGATTTTCTTGTAATTTCGCCCACAGCACTACTTTTATCTGTGTTAGATGAATACTTCAGTCCGCTATATTTGCTACCTTACACATTTTCCAAAAATGTGTACATATCACATATAAAGTATAGGAAGTAGTTGATGGTTCAAATCTGACACGTTGTAATATTTATGTTAGCCTTAGGTCAATATTCGCCAACTGCTGCGGAACCTCACCCATAAAGGTCAACAGTTTGAATAATCAGAACTCAAGGCCTGGGGTATTCTTCATGGACGAGGGGAAAGGTATTTTTTACCACTTTGGTGATGGTCTCAACCGACCAACTTTGGATATTATGGAGATGTCCATAAATATATTTCAAAATTTACTTCAAACACAGAATACCTCAAAAAACTACAAAACACAAACCAGAATATTCCAAAATAAATCCTTTAATACAACAATCCTTCCCTTCGATTCTTCTGCAGTATGAAATCGATTATACGAATTAGATAAATTTTTTCCTGGTATACGATTTGATAAAACAAAACCGCCACCATTACGGAAAGAATTGTGATAAAACTCTCGAAAAAGAGATACGAAATGTCCAAGTCGAACGCCGATTTTAGTGCGTTCGACTTTAATGAGAGCTCCGATAATTCAGATGGGGAAACGCGTGGACCGTTTGTGAGACGAGCGGCTGCCGCTGCTGCGAACAACAGTGGCGGCAACAAGAATAGCCTAGCTCACAAGAACAACAACAATAACAAGAAAAGCTCAGGCCCTAATAACAATCAGCATAACAATGTCAAGCCCACCACCACCACCAACAATAGCAGCAGCAGCAACAACAACAACACCATTAGCAATAAAAACAATGCCACCAGTCACATGTCCAGTAGTGCTTCCAACAGCAGTGCTTCAAGCAGTGAAGATGAAGGCGAGGAACCCAATGATGATGAGGATGATGATGAGAATATTTCATCGGCGGAACAGGAACAGGATAAGCAACTGCAACAAAACCAAAAACAACAACAGCAACAACAACAACAACAGCAGCTCCACGAAACTCTCACCAATGGTACACAACGCCTCAATGAGCCACCCGACGATGAGGACAACAACAGCAACAGCAGTGCCAGCAGTACCAGTTCCAGCGGCAGCAGTACCAACGACACTCGCGGTAATGCTGGCGGCTGCGGTGTTGGGTCACTTGGTGCCAATGGCAGCAGCGGGAATGCTCAACAGTCCCATAACTCAGAGGCCTTGCTAATGGCCGCCATAGGTGCCAGCAATGTTGCACAGAATCACTCTCCAACGCCTACAAACCAACCCACGGGAGGGGCACCAGCCTCAGCATCTTCGCCATCGTCTGTGTCACCATCGGGGCAACAGCATTCCAATGGTTTGCCCGACTCTTCGGCAGCAACCGCCAATATCGATGGCAATGCTCGGGATGGTAGCCTTGGTGGCAATGGTGGCGGCAGTGTTGGCTTAGCCTCTGGTCTGACAAACGAATCGAACAACTCGTCACACTACCAAAACAACTGCAATGTGAGCAGTTTACTGGACTCGGCCCTGGCTGCAGCCAACAATCATAGCCAGAACAATGGTCACTCCAATGCCAGCAACAGCAACTGCAACGAATTGATACGCAGCAACAGCAGTGCCAGTTTGAGCAATGCCAGTCATGTTGGCCTAAATGCCATCACTGGGGCAAATGGTGGAATTGGAGGTGGTGGTGGCAGTGGCTGTGGTGTGAGTGGTGGCAGTGGCTGTGGTGTGAGTGGTGGCAGCCTAGGAGCTGGCCTAAGTCTGAGTGGCATTGGTGGAGGATCGAACAGTGGTGCTGGTGGCATTGGAAATCTTGGTGGTGGTGGTGGCGGCAGCCTCTGTGGTGCACCCACATCGTTAGGGGGTGGTGGCGGCAACTCCAATTTCCCCATGTCAGCATCCGAACGCAAAAAGTATCGCCACCAGAACTTCAGCAAAAACATCTACATCGGCACAAAAAATGCTGAGAAATGGGAATACATGCGAACGAGACTGCAATTTAAAAACGATGTGGAATTTGTGGCGTATCTTCTGAATTTGGCCGACAACGATACGGAGCGTTTGGCAAAGTAAGTACCAAAGAAAATTTAATCGGATTTTTAATATCACAACAATTTGAAGTTCATTTTAGGATTGTGAATTTGCAGCTTTTGATTTCAGCTTAGAATAAGGCAAAGGTCTTAGAAAGCCAATTTATTAGAAATTGGGGCAGGATATTTATTTTATTTTTAAACTTTGATTTCCAAAGGTACTAAAAAGTACTAAATGTGGCACCCTTTGCATTTGACGCACCACTAGAACTGGAACTTTTACAATGGGAATGAGGGTCGCTGATGGATGTACCACAAGTTTTTTTTTTGGAAATTTGCATTGTAAGTGTACGAAAAGTACTGAAATGTACTATATTTGGTACCATTTCGTAACATGTGAACGGTTAGAGCTAAAAATTTGACATTTGAAATGGGAATCAAATTTGACAGAGTCGATGTAAGGAGGTAGTTTAGGAAGTGGGTATTCATGTATATCATGTATATGAAAAGTACTAATCGGTACTAAATTTGGTACAATTTGAATTTGGAGGAACGGATGAAGCTGGAATACTGAAATGTGAAATTAACATTACAGGCGGAGTGTAGTATTGGGAAATTTCGTAATTTGTAATTTTGAAAAATCGTACTTATGTGTACTAAATGGTACTAAAATTGGTACTATTTAAATTTTGGTGAAATTTCGTACAATTAAAATTTTTGGAGAATCGGTGGAGTTGCATTCCTGAAATTTGGTAGGAAGATTTCTATTGAATTGTTTGATGTAGGTAGTTATGAAAATTGAAACTCATGTTCACGAAAAGTACTGAATGGTACAGGATTGCCCATATTCAACGGACCCATGACTCTTTGGGCCCATTCCAATCGACGAGGCTTGTCCGCAGGCAACATTCTTTGCGTCAATTGAATTTTGTACGGGAACAAATGCAAATCAATGCGAATAATCCGTTGTAAAGTGGACCGAGCCATGCCCAACTGCTGAGAACGGCGTTTTTGGGATATTCTTGGGGACCTCTCAACACTGGCTCGTACGGCAGCGATATTCTCGGCCGATCGCCTTGGTCGACTTTTATATGGCCTCTTCGGATTAGAAAGAGCCTTACCAGTCGAAAATTGTTCGTATAAACGCTTAATGGTTTTCGTAGAAGGCGCACTTCTCACGTTTTTTTAATGTTTTAAAAGCACGTTGAGTTTTCACAATTGACTTCCTCTGTTGAATGTAAATTTCAACTATTTCAGAGCGCTCGCGTGGCATGTATTGGTTCATGGTAAAAATCTGCTTGGACTGACGCTTCAAACGCGGTATGTCATTAAGCGATGTGACATCTCTGTTAAAAGTTATGGCGTTGCCAGATGGGTCCGTCGAATATGGGCAACCCTGTACTAAATTTATAAAAATGTTGAATTGGGTGAACCCGCAGAGCTGAAAACCTGACATTTGGAAATAAGATTACTGTTGCATTGTAGGTCTGGGTTATGTAGGAAGTTTTGAAAATGCATTCTTGTGTTTACTAAATGGTACTAATTTTGGTACAATTTGGATTTGAGTGAACCAATAGAGCAGTTATGCTGAAAATTAGAAATAAGATTTCTGTCGGAATGTAGGATTTGGGATAATTAGATAGTTTTGGAAATTTGTACTTACAAGTACTAAATTATACTAAATGTGGTACAATTTGTATTTGGGCGAACCGAAAAGGGCGGAGTCCTAAAATTTGGAACTGAGATTATTGTGGGAGTGTAGGATTGAGATATGTACGACGTTGTGAAAATTTGTACTTATGTGTACTAAATGGTACTAAATTTGGTGCACATTAGAATTGTGGTGTATAAAATTGGATTATGTGGGAAACTTTTGGAAATTTGTACTTATGTGGAATATATTTCGAACAAACTGGATTTGTGTGAACCTATAGAGCTGGAGTTCTGAAATTTGGAATTATTTTTGGAAATAAGTACTACAAGAGGGCCCAATGCAATAAATGGTACTATATTTGGTATTAATTGTACGGATAGAGTTAGATTTCTAAATTTTGGTGTTGCAGTCGGAATTGGTATGTAATGTTGAGATATGGAGGGGGTTTTCGAAATACGTACCGTAAAAGCACGAAAGGAACTAAATCGTACTGTAGAATTGAGATATGAAGTGGTGTTGGAAATGAATACTTACGTGAACGAAAAGTACCAAGTGGTACTAAATTTGCATTTTGGACAATGTTGATGAGTAGGGATAAGATCAGACTAGATTTTTTGGAAATCCGAACTAGAAATGTAGGTATTGGGGTCTCTTCTGGGGGGAGTAGGATAATAATAAAGAGATGGGTTTGGAAATGCGTTTAGTTTGTGTACGAAAGGTACGAAATTGTACTAAATTTGATTTGCGTGAAGGGATAAGGCTTGGAATCTTAAATTTGGCATTAGGATCACTATTGGTATGTAGGTTTGAGATTTGGAGGTGGTTTTGGAAAAACAGACTAAAAAGTAATAAATGGCACTAAATTTGTTATTTGTGGAAATCATTGAGTTAGAAGACAAATTACAAAAAAATTGTCATTAGGATCCCCTTTGTTTGGAAATACGTACGAAATTTAGAGTGAGAATATTTGATATTGTGTGGAATAGGCAAAGCCAAGATAGGTTCTTTGAAATTCTAACAATACGTGTACCAAAAGTACTACAAAGCACTAAATTTGGTACCATTTGGAATTATATGAAGGGATCGTGGTAAATTCTTAAAATTCGGGATTGAGATCAAGTTTTGGAAATGGATTTGATTTAAGATGGTGGTTTTGGAATCTGAATTGGAAATCTTAAATTTTGCATTAAGGTGGGTTGGTGGGTTTGTGAAAATAAAGCTGGTTTTGGAAATGTGTGCTATAAGTGCACGAAAAGTACTAAATAGTACAATAATTGGTTCAATTTGGTATTGGATTAACAGACAGAGCTTGAAATCTGAGATTGGATATTGGTATCGCTGTTCAAGTGTAGCCTGGACATATGGAGGTGGTTTCCGATATTTATACTATAATTGTACGAAAAGTACTGAATGGTACTATATTTGGTATTGGGGTAAGGGATAGAGATAAAATTCTGAAATTTGATATTAAGATTACTGATGGTAATCCTCAAATTTGATATAGAGGTCTCTGTTGGTATCTGAAATTGAGAAATGGAGGTGGCTTTGTAAATGCGTACTATAATTGTTCGAAAAGTACTAAATGGTACTTTCGGTGTCTAGGATGGAGAGATGTTAGTTGTTTTGGATATACGTACTAAATATTATAATATTTGGTATTTGGTGAAGGGATGGAACAGAAATTCTGAAATTTGATATCAAGGTCACTGTTGATTTCTAGGGTTTACATATGAGGACATTGAAATAGTTTTGGAGAGAAGAATTGGACGTGGGTCCATTGGGCAATGGTTTCACTAATATCCTCCTTGTTTAACATCAAAATTAAAGATTTTGAAGACGACTTACCAGTTATACATATGACCGATATAGCCCACTCTATGTACCAATGATTCATCTAAAATATTTCTTACTTTGACACTTTTCCCAAAAAATGAAGTATAAAGGGAGATTTTGACTGCCATTTGATACGTATTAAATTAACAGTACAAAAATGCAAAGACATGTGTTTTACTTTTAGTACACAAATTTTGAATGCAATTTTCATAAAAACTATTGTACCTAGATATATGGTTTATTCTAAGATTTATAGCGGAATTTTGTGTAAAATATTTCTTCTTTTGACACCTTCTGTCTACAACGAGATTTTATGTAACTTTCAGGCATTAACTCGAAAAAAGTCCAAGGAAAAATTGATCAACGAAATTAGAGAATATTTTTGAAATTTTTTAGTAATATTGATGCGAATATTTATCTGACATACAGTGGAAATCGATGTTTCTATTCTTTGGTGACTCATTGTAAAATTTAATGAAAAATATTTTTGTCTATAACGTCATCCTTCTAAAGTCATGATTTGATGGAGATTTTATACTTTAACCGTAATATATATTTATACCCTACACCACATAGTGGTAAGGATATTATGTCTTTGTGAATTTGTTTGTAACATTGAGAACGAAGCGAGGTAGACTCATAGTTATTTTTGAGGATCTTTCTGAGTCGATTTGTGCATTTCAGTCCGTCCGTATGTCCATGTATTTGTGTGAACATAAAATTTACACATCCAACCGAATTCAGTCTAGAAGCAAGTACATCGAATTCGGAGAAATTCGGATCAGATATAGCTATAGCCCCCATATATATGTTTCATCTGATTTGGGGTTTTAAGTCCCTCACATTCGTAATATGCACCACACAAGAATGATATTTGGTACCAGATATCAGATACAGCATAGAAATACCTCTGCAAAATTTTATCAATATCAGTTAAGATTTAGATATAGCTCCCATATATATATCTTAAACCGATTTCGGGTTAATCGTGCACCAAATGGCCAATATCAGACCAAATGACCTGAATTTTGGTATATCCGACCGAATTTAGTCTATAAGCAAGTACTTCAAATTTGGTGGAAATCGGTTCAGATATTGCCATAACTCCCATATATATTTGCCTTTATGTTCCTCACATTCGTAATATGCATTCGACAACAATCGATATCGGCTAAAATTTGGATTTCAGGTTTAATGTGCAAAAATGGCTAATATCAGCCCAAATGGAGTGAATTTTGGGACGTACGTTTCCATTTGGTGGAATTCGACTCCGATATATATATTTTTTTTAATATAATCTTCTAATGAGGCACTCTATAGCAATGATATTTGGTATGAAAGATAAAAATATATCCGTCAAATTTTGTGAAAATCGATTCAGAATTGGATATGCCTCCAATATATTAGTCCCCCTGAAACCAAACCCGCGATATTGCTGAAGACACTAAGAACCTAAGAAGCAGGTATTTAAATATTAATGCGATCATTTTCCAAAGTGAAGAATAGTGGTTATTTAGGTTACCTTCAAAACGTGTATACATGTCTTCTTTTT